ACCCTTCTAGCAATGGCCTCCTTCCTAATAGCAATGGCCTCCACCCTACTGGCAATGGCCTCCACCCTACTGGCAATGACCTCCAGCCTAATTGCAATGGCCTCCAACCTAGTAGCGATGGCCAGCAATGGCCTCCAAGCTACTAGCCATGGCCTCCAACCTCATAGCGCTCAAAACTTGAACATGTTGTCAGCAAAGCAACCAAAAACGTCCCTGCATCCATGCCTGGCTTGCAAATCCTGGGGTGCTCGTGAGGAAAGCACTCACCTGACATCTGAAGTGCCATGTTCATGACTTCTGAAAGGACACCGCTTCAAACTCCAAAAAACTGTGCACATATTGGCCAGTGTGTGCTTTTATTGTGCATTCAGATTTTCTGAGAAAGCACAAAAGCGGTGCACACCGACAACATCATCACTGCTGATCGGAACCAGCGCAGGACCTGGAGGGTTTGGCACGCAAAACGTAGGCTTCTCACTTTTTTGAAAAAAAGGATTGTAAGACAGAAAAGAGAGAAACAAAGGACACCTAACAGCGATGGCCTCCAACCTACTAGCGATGGTCTCCAACCTACATAACTCCTTCCTTGTAAAACAACTTCACCTGTGACACTGGGGAACCATACTTTGCCGACTTGGCCAATTTGAACAAAGCTGGGTCCGAACCTCTGTGCTAAGAATGCGGCAGTTCGTTCATTTGACATGGGTGTCTTGCAGTCAACCAAGAGATCCTGAAGCGGCAACACCCACGTGAAGAAATCCAAAGGAGTTAGCCAGGGTTGTATTGAATGTAGTGGGTTAGACTCGGTTAGACTTGCTGGGCCTCCAAACAGAAGAACCGAAACCTAAGATAGCTAAGTCAGAAGAACCCAAGAAGCCAGCAAAAAGATCGCACCCAGAATAAATGCAAATCTTGCCCAGTGAACAGGATGTGAAAAAGATTAATGTGTTTTTCTCATTCGGTTTCTCCTCATCGTTCCCCGTGTCGCTGTTCAGTGAATGGAGAAACCTGGAATCGCAAGGCACGGCTGAAGAAGACTGAATCGAAGGGTCCGTCACCCAATGGAAAAAAAGGACAAGAAAATCCAAAAGACCATCGCACATGTTTATATCTTTTGAGTTCTTGTAGTCTTATAGTCTTTTTGCTTCTTTCTTCTGTCCTTTTTCTTTATCCCCGGCTGCCTCTTTTCCCGTGTCTTTTTTTCCTTTTATAGAGTTCTATTTATGCTTAGTGGCTTAGTGTCTTGAGTCCCATGTGCCTGCAGAATGCAGCCGCCATGTCAGCTGCCTAGGGACTTTAACTTTCACGGCACTCAAATCATTCACACACTGTCCAAGCACAAAGCAGTCCAAAAACCAAGCAAAGAAACGTGAAAGACTCCAGCAAGTCAGTGTGTCTAACTTGTCTGGCTTGCTAATAATCGTCTTTCAACACCAAGCTGCCCAAGATGTAAGACCTTGCTCTGCCTGGAAGATTCCTGAAGACCTGGCACAGGTGCAGCTCCACAGCATCAAGACCTGCAAAAAAAACACGTAAAATCACGTTTTCTAGGTTTTGTGCGGGATGGACCAGGTCCGAACGGAAGGGCACTGTGAGTTGGAAGAAGGAACGGAAGAAGCACAGCCAGGTCCACGCGGGAGAGCGCCCTCCCGAGTCGTCGAAAGGCCTCGGAGGTCGAAAGGTCGAAAAGGCATCTTCTAATTATACAAATTCTAATAGCTTATTGTTTTTAATAGCAAACACTGTTACTACTAGTAAGGCACCTGTTACTACTAGCGTGGCACTTGTTCCTAGTAGCTTCTTGTTAAAGAAAGGAACGTCTAGGAAGGAAGCCACTATTAGGTGCTTTTCTTGAGTAAGGCAGAGAGCAAGGCAAAGCCTCATGATCTTGTCCCGAGTGTTTGCACTCTCTCACGGCAGAGTTGTCTTGGAGCCCCCAAATGCAAGGTTTGACGTTCCCGTTTTGATGAGTAGAAGCTAAGACTTGATCCTGTTGGTTGGCTGTCCCTGACGCTTATCCTTTCAGCTCTTGATTCCTCCGGTTGGCTTCTTTTCACAGTCCCCTTTGTGACTGCCCTTCACCAGGTCTCCAACTCCACCAGTTCACCTCCCACTGGCAATGGAAAGCCTGCTGTCGACAACCTGGGCAATCCGGCAAAACATTGAAGCTCAAGATCCTGCAGCCCTTTCAAACATTTCCCGAAGGTGAAGCGCGTGAACTCCTTCTCACCCCAAACCCCACGAAGTGGCACTGCCTGAAGACTGTTTGCATCGAGAAGTCCGGCAAATGAATTGGCAAGCGCCGCAAAGCTGCCTGCAGACGCCGCGCACAGCGGCGCTCAGCTGTCTTGGCCAGCTGAGTCGAAAGTTAACATCGTTCTTGGATCACGTTGTAATGTCCGACAATGTCACAAGCATCAAACCAGCCCACGCTCCTCGTAAAAGTGACCCCATGATCTTACTCGGCCCAATGACCGTAAGTGGAGAAAGTTAACTTGGCAGCATCCAGTTTCTCCTTGTTGCTACTACGCTTGTACTTGTGTTGCGCACCTCAACAAAAATGACTAAAATCCAAAAACCCTAGAAACAACATGCAAGTGTCAACACTTCACCCAGCAAACGCCAGCTGGAACGAGTCGGAACACAGCTGGCTGCCGGCGGCCAACGAGCCTGCTGAAAAATCAATGTCCCACAAAGGGCTTTGGAGAAGTAATGCGCCTGGCTGAGCGTTGGCGAGTCCTGGATTCCTCGACCGGTGTACAAATCCTCCTTCGTCTAAAATGAATACTCATTTCAGCCTCATAGCGACGGCCTCCAACCTACTAGCGACGGCCTCCAGCCTCATAGCGATGGCCTCCAACCTTTAGTAGCCATGGCCTCCAACCTCATAGCGATGGCCTCCAACCTACTAGCGATGGCCTCCAGCCTCATAGCCATGGCCTCCAACCTCATAGCGACGGCCTCCAACTTCATAGCGATGGCCTCCAACCTCATAGCCATGGCCTCCAACCTCACAGCGATGGCCTCCAACCTCATAGCAATGGCCTCAAACCTCAGCGACGGCCTCCAACCTAATAGCGATGGCCTCCAGCCTACTAGCGACGGCCTCCAACCTACTAGCGACGGCCTCCAACCTCATAGCGATGGCCTCCAACCTCATACCTGTAGCCTGGCCTCCAACCTCATAGCGACG